CTTAGCTGCACATAGCTTCAGGCCATGCTCTGTCAGATTATTTATCATCTCAGGCACACATGGTCATAGGCCACTAGCATTAAGCCAGTCGGGTAGGTAGCCTAAGCACACATTGATATTAAAACGTGCGTTCTCTTGGCTCTCAAAAAATAAACCACTTGTCTTGCGGGTGGTGGTGTCCAATCTCGTTCTGTCTGTGTTCATATGTATAAATCCATATCTGGGTGCAGTAGCTTGTTTTCTCACTCCGCAGCACGTGTATATATGTTTGTATTATATTGTTTATTTCTTCAATTAACCTGTGCAACTGTGCAGGGTAAAAAGTTGCTTCACAAGTGTGTAACAATAGTCTCTGTTAGCTGTTTCACAACTGAGCTCCAACGTAAAAAATCTAGAGCGACTAAGAAAAAGATGCCCAACTTTGGCATTGGCTGTACAGCCTTATGCTATCTGGAAAAAGATGTTTGTGTTGGGGAGGGCTCTGCACTTTTCTCATATCTTGTCTCCTGCTTTGTTGGGGGGCTATTTAATGTATGTTATTTAATGCATGTTATGCAGAATTTATTGAAATCGTATTCAGTTTGAAATCCATGTGGTTTCTTGGCTGGTTTCCCCAGTTTCCTGGTTCTGGTCACCTCGCCAGGGCGCCCACCTTCCTTCTTTTGCAACCGGGCTTAGGACCATCCTTGGCGGAGAGGACCGTCCTAGGTGGAGTATAAATGGTTATAAGACTCCTATCCATCATCGGCAATGTTTTCATAAAGATCATCCAATCGAGGCTACAAAAGCACTGAAAAGAGACCATCTCACTCTTAAAACTCTTTCTTTCCTCACTCTCTTTCTTTCTGCAACTCGTATGAATGTGTGTGTGTGTGTGTGTGTGTGTGTGATTGTGTTAGATATTAGTTTATGAGTTAGAATAATCAATAAAGTCTTTTTTGGAATGAACGCTGGACGAGTCATTTGCTCGGCCGTATAAGTGATTCTGTTAACATTCCCTATTAATTAATTGATAATTCCTTTTGAGCTAAATCGGAGTGCCTGGACCCTTGAATACATATTATTATACGCAAGTTGTCTTACAGCATTGAAGACTGAACACGTCCCACAAAAAGTCATCAAACTCCTTAAAGAATTCCAACAGTCAAGTGCGAATCCGAAACAAGCTCTCACAGTTTTCCATCCAAACAGGAGTCCGTCAGGGAGATGTGGCCTCTTCAATATTGTGGTGGACTGCATTATGAGGAAAGTCTTTGAGGGCAAACAGGGCATTCAATCTAATGAAGATAACTTCGACAGATCAATGTCGAAAAGACCAAAGTACTCACAACGGATGTTTCCCAAGTAATCTTCCACCTTGCCGGGGTCCAGATTGAACAAGTGCAACAATTCAAACACATTGGTTTGCTGGTTTAGGAGAAGAAAGTGGCATCTTCTATGGAGACCAACACCAGAATTGGGGCAGGTAGCAGTGGCGTTCGCTTCCCTTAACTGGTGTTTGTGGAAGAGAAACAACATCTCGACAAAGATCAAGATCCGCCTCTTTCAAACGCTGATCCTACCAATTATTCTCAATGAATCTGAAACATGGACCTTGCTCCAGATGGATTTGACCAAACTTGAAGTTTTCCAAATGCGATGCCTACGCCAGATCCTGGGAATTTCGATTCGCGACCGCATCACCAACGACGCAATCCGAGCCAGATACCAATGACAACCAGCCATTGACGAGCAGATACAACAACGAAGGCTGAGAAGGTTTGGACACATGTCTAGAATGGATGCAAATCGAATACGACACCAACTCTTATGCAGGAAACGACCAACCCAGTGGAGAATCCAGTGCACTGCACCCAATAAAACATGGATCAAGCAAATTGAAGAAGATCTGAAGAACCAGCGGCTTGACCCACAGCAGACAAGAGTAGTTGCCACAGACTGAAAAGCAAGGAGACAATTGATCGAACGAGTTTGAAACCCTGCGGCACCCACAGCAGCATACTGGTTGCCAGGTTGCCTCCCCCAGATGCCAGCTAGGGATCAAAAAAAAAAAAAAGACGTGCAGCAGCAGCATGTCTTACATGCTCACAGCAATGTCTGTGAATGTACTGCAATAGAAAGTCTCAGTACTTGCTCTGCAGTGGCTGCAGGGTAGCAGATCTATTCTGCCAAGACCAAATATATTCACATTTCCATGTATGCAATCTCTCAGAGAGTTGTCATAAAAGAAATGTATCACAATGAGCATAAGACTTATTTTTAAATAGACAGACATTTAAAAATCTTACCAACCCAAAACTTTTGAACTGTAGTTTACATGGAGAATATAAATGTATATATTATTTACAGTGTGTCAAAGTTATTGATTCTTAATGTCATTTAAAATGCACAAAACTTCAAAGCAAATTGAATCGAATCACTACATCTGATAGATACTATTCCTCTTAACAGATGAGAAGAGAAAAGATTTGAATATAACATTAAGAAAACAATGGCCAGTTGCAATCTGCCGAATCATTAGCAATGATCTCACACAACACAGAGGAGAGTTTCCCATCTATATTTGGAAGCATGAAAATGAACCATAGTGCTGGTACTATGAACCATAGTGCATAGCACTTAAGCAGAATTCATCCTAAAAACAAGGCCAGTTTAAAGAGATACAATATGCTGGCTTTATTTACTCAATCTTATGTCATTCCAAGTCTGTTTCTTGCAATTACAAAAAAAAAAAAAAAAAAACAAGGCCTGTAATTTAGTAATTTTTACTGACAAATCATCTTCCCCTCCCCAGGTTACCCGCTGCAACCAAATCAGTTGATTCAGTTTTGTGAATCAATAATTCATTGAAAATACATGACTACAAAATATATACAGAAATCATGCATTCTCTCATGAAGTCATTTGGCTAGATTCTATGCTGCCTTTTTGTAATTTTGAAGATTGACTCACTCAAAAAAATCAAATTTAGTATTCCACAGAAATAATGAAGTATTTTTCATTCTCGGGTAAACTATTCCTTTATATAGTTTTTGCAATTAGTTATTTTATTTATTTTACATCATGTTCACATTTAAAATGGATGTACAGTGTTATTTGCTGCAGCCTATAAAGAGGAAGATTGATACTAACAAACATGCATCCGTATTAGGGATAACAATCAGGAAGTAATCCATCTATAAACAAAGGTCAGTACTCACGCTGCTCAGGGTCAGAAGGCAAGGAGCCAGAACATTGTTGCATGTGGGACTGCCCTAATCTTCTGCATTATATCAATTTCCATCAGAAAATCCCTTGCATAGGAAAAGCAGACACTGACACACTTTACAACAATATACGTGGACAATTTTGCATGTACAAAACATATACGCATATAAAAATGAGGCTTAATTCTTTGTGTAATAATGTATGAGGGCTTACTCTCCCTTTCAGTTAACTTGTACATAAATGCAAGAATACCTAAACAGGAAGCCCCACCTCAAATTCACACCATTAGTTGAGACAAAAGTTAATTTGTCCAAATGACCCACAAATAACTTACTTATAGTTATATAAAATAGAATAGGAGAAGGTATTTTAACACTGAAAAACAATTGCATGCATCCCTTTTAAGGATAAGGAAGATGATTCATAGAATAAAATATTTTTAAAATACTTGGGTTAATGAGTTCCTACAGAATGGAGCTAAAATGGTAACACATACTGTAACAATAGGGTTCAATTTGTTAACATTAGCTAACTACATTATGAGTACAAATACTTTTTTATAAACTAACATTAACATAGATTAATATACTTTGCATAATGCATTAACTAATGGGACCAAATTGTTTAACAAGTGTATTGTAAAACAAGTGTATTTTTGGATAAAGGGAATTCAGAGGAGAAATTGAAAGCCCAGAGATGGTAAGTCAGGTGAGCTCTGGGTCGACATCAATGTCAAGTTCTTGATTCTGCTTGGTTGCACTTGAGTTTCCATTAGGAGCTGAATACGTTTCAGATTAAGGTCAATAACCGAGTTTGTGCAGCGTCAGCACAGTAAACTGCTCTAAAACCTCAGCAGATTTAAGAATTTATAAGAATAATCCAGCCAAAACTGCATCATTATTTACTCACCCTCATGTCGTTCCAAACCCTTATGCTATAATGTCTTCAGTGGCACACAGTCAAAATAAAATCAAACACAGCATCAAATGTCGTTAGTTCTCAAGTGTCAAGTAACCAGAAATAATGACGTCAAACCTGTACACTATAGGTGCCATATTTAATTTGAAACCTGCAGTGGAGGTGAATGTTGTAAAGTAAAATATAGAGCACAAATCTACTTCTTTGAGATTGACATCCCTGTGTTTACTATAAGCCAGTGTCTTTGTATGGACAAATTCTGTGTGAACACTCTTTTGAAGATCCCTTTTGTGTGTTCCACTGACAAATAAATAAATAAATAAAACCCAAATTAAGGTTTAAATTGTCATAATGGTTAGTACATGAAACATTTTTTGACCTATTTTTTAGACTGCACCATTTTAAGGCAACACTTTCCTTATATGACCTTGCAATCATCATGTTCTTTCTCAGCCTCTCCCTCGCTTAAGTGATCCCTTTCACCTCCTCTCTTCCTCCTCATTCTCCCTTTCAGCTATCACATCATTAGAGAGCATTCAAAGTCCTGGCATCCAAATCAACAGAAACGCCTCCTAAGTGATCCTCCCTTGGGCGTATAATACCTCACCATTAGAAATCTCAGAGACACACATACTACCGTCAGGCAATCGTGACCCATTTGGATGGTTATTACTTACACGCAGGGGCCCTAGCCCTGCCTGTCCAAACACACTCATCCACTGGCTAGGCAGCTCTGGATATCTGTTCTGACAAAGTAGAGTCAGCAGCAGCCTTGGCTTGTAGCTGTGTGTCTATCTGTGTGTGTGTGTGTTTGTGGCTCTGTGAAGGAGACTTCAGCGTTAATGTGAACTGATGGCTCTTTGGCAAGCGCTTACTGAGTGGTTTGAGGATGCTGTTGCTGGCCTCCTCATTGTTCTCTGCGTCTGACCTGTCCGAAGTGTTCTCAGTCACTTTATCCTTTCTGTCCTTGTGACTGGTGCGCCGGCGATGACGTCTCCGTCGACGGTAGCTCTTAGGCACATGCACACCGATGTATATGGTGTGGTGACCTGAGAGAGTAAAATTGAGAAGATAAGTCAGGCTATTTAGATCACATGACATCATCCAAATGTTTTTTTTTGTAAGAGCAAGAAAACAATTGCTCCTCAGCATAAGCACACTGCCAAAAAAAAAAAAAAAAAAAAAAAAAAAACTTAATCATTATTTTTGTCTTATTCTTTTATAAAAACAAAAAAACATGGACCACAAACATTTGAACGTTAGTGTAAATTGCCTCACCTTTCAACAACTATGTTATGTATGTTAAAACAACAAAGTAGTAGTTAACTGTGTTTAAATCCAGACACATTGAGGCTGAGAGCACTTTGGTATTTTAAAGAAATAAGTGTAACCTCTCACACCAGGGTCCAACTCGACCCGCTCCAAAGCGGGCCTCGAACCCGGGTCTCCGAAAGGAGAGTCAGGCGCGCTAACAAGGAGGCTAAAGACTGCAGCCTCTAACGTCTAGCGTCTGTCGCTAGAGCGCCTATTGAGATCGGGAAGTGAGGTTTAAGCCTAGTTCACACTACGTGATTTTAAGCCCGATTTAAGCCCGATTTGCAAATCGTTGAGTCGCCGACAAGTCAGGGTGTTATCGCGTGCAAATCGCGGGCGATTAGCGGACGATTAACGCTCGCCAATCCGTTAGTGTGAAAGAGCCAACAACGCATCAAAGACAGCTCGCAGACAGGTCACCGAGCTCAGAAAAATATCTAGCCTGCTAGATATCTCGAGCAGTCGCGCGACTCAATCTCAGTGATGTCATGAGTACAGCCAATCATAGCAACGCATGGGTTGAGGACACCAGGTAAATCTTACTTTTTCTTTTTTGCATTTTTTTTCTCAGAGCAGATCGTCGAGCAAACAGTGTGCAGCACTAGTTTCTGTCTGACGTCCATATTCGCGTGTTGTGTTCTTCTCTGTAGTTTCGCGTCATTTCTGGTTCGTTTTATTGCGTGGGTTTTCGTGACAAAACATGGTTTCTAGACCAGATAGAATCGTGTTGTTGTCAACTCGTTATTTGTTTGATTATTTTCAGGATTTAGACCGTACTATAGTACTGAAACAGCTCTCATTGAGTCACAAATGATATGCTCTTATCATCCGATCGTGGTTGTATCTCTATGCAGTGCGTTGTTAACTCGTGTAGTGAGTTACCTCCTGTTGTGGATCAATCACGTTGTGTTGTGTGGTGTGAACAGCTAAACAACTTGAACACTTATGATTTCACTGAGAGCAAGTCATGTAATGTGAACTGCACAGTTCAGCCCAACATTTTAAAATCATGTAGTGTGAACTAGGCTTTACTCGCACAGCAACTACTAGCTGGCCTTCGTTACACTCACCCCCCAAAACCTCACTCTCATCCGGGTCACGGCACCAATGTAACGTCTCACACCCGGGTCCAACTCGACCCGCTCCGAGCGGGCCTCGAACCCGGGTCTCCGGCATGAGAGTCAGGCACGCTAACAAGGAGGCTAAAGACTGCAGCCTCTAGCGGCTGTCGCTAGAGCGCATATTGAGATCGGGAAGTGAGGTTTACTCGCACAGCAACTACTAGCTGGCCTCCGTTACATAAGCAGGTGCCTTGGTGATGGAATTATGCTGTGCATTGCCTTTAGTGAATGAAATGCAAACGCATCCCTGACAAAATATGCAAAAACAATGCTATTAGTGGCTGCAGCTTGCTCTGAGTGAATTCCCCTTAGTATATCAAAACAGCCCTTGATGACGTAGATAAACACTTACAGAATTAATTGACTCAGCCAAGTCAAGTAAATACAAAAATGTCAGTCCTAACATCGTTGCTGTCATGAGATAAACAACTCACTTCTGTCAAGATAGCACAAACCACGTGACCATCCCAGAGCTACACACTTCAATATCTGTAAGATAAATAATGTGTAGTGTCACTGAGGTCAGGAGCAGAGTAGCGACTGTTTCCTTGCGGCCCATTGGTTACGGCATATGATGCAACCTGAATAAATGGCATGACTTCCTCAACGCAATTTATGCAGGAAATTGTGGATTTCACCGGAGGGGTTTGCAGCAGACAGTCAAAATATTTTGTCTGGAACAGCTAGCAGGTAGTGTGGAACGTACAATGTTTAGATCCATATCATACAGACACTTTCCATGTCTCTCCCCCAGTCACATTAAAGATAAACACTTGTTAGCTTTTGATGCAAAACATTTTGACAACTAAAAATGTTGAGGTCTAAAATAACAAGGATTAGATTCTGGTCTACAACATGGCAATCTGTGTCAAAAATGTTCAGCCCAAGTATTAGACTCGTATTAGACAGATCGATTAGAGACTTCTAAAACTTTAGTATTTAAAGAGTTACATTGCTGAAGCATGTCTCAAATGAAGGTTTCATAAAGCAATTAAAAGTATGACAAAAAAAATAAGTAAAGTAAAACTAAGTCGAAGTCATTTTCATGTCATGTAGGATTTATTCAGGTGCATCTGTACTTGTTTATCCACAGCCAATTACAAGGCTGTCTTTACATCTTCAGCCCAGCTGTAGGGCCACAGGTCACATAGTGATCATGATTCACCCCATCAGAGAGACTAATAGACCACCACAGTGATTTATAAGCCTCATGACATAATCAAGCATGACGAGGTTAAACGCAGGACAATCACTGCCATTAGGCGACAGACGAAGCCACTGCATTTTGCACGTCGCGAGTGACAGGCGGTAAGGTCGCTAGTCGGCGGTCCCAAGTAAAGTTTGTGAATGACATTCACGGATGTTACTCCATATTGAAGACAACTACCCACTGAATTGGTTGTCGCTCCAGAAAGTCACTCTTCATTTGCATAAAGTTAAACAGATCTCAACTTTGTCACTACACTGGACATGCCTTCATCCTGACGCCTTTTGTTGCTCATGTCGGCGGAAATCCCCAGCTGAAATGAATCGGATCGTGTCACTTTGTCACTGGTAGTGAGAATTCATCTTTAAATGGCTAGATAGAATAAGTCCAGATGACAATCAATGATATTAGTGGTGTAACGGTGCCTTCGTGTCACGATTCGCTACATATCACGATACTGAACACACGATACCATTTTATTGCGATACTCCAAGACATGATAACAAAAAATGCACGGTTAATAAAAATCCAAAATTTGATTTTTTCATTGTGGGTGTAAATGAATGGGATGGACTTGGTGCTGGAAACCCAATACAGGACAATAGAGACACCAGAATAACAATATTCATGATTATGAAGCTGAAAATCCTGAATTATTTCAGACAAACAAGCTTGCACTGTCACTGACTAGATATATTTAAAATAATGTAGGCCACATTTTACTGGTAACATCAGATATTTGGCATTATAAGGACCCACAAATATTCCCCATTGCATTATTATACATTATATTCAACATATAGCAGTTTAATGTAGTAGCCTACTGACACTTAAACTAGTAATTTCCATTTTGGGTGAACTATATACAATCTATAGTCACTATCCACAATAATATATTGATGCATTTTTGTATTGTGATATATTGTGACAACATACCGTTACACTGCTAGATGACATGATGCGGTAACATTCTATATTTGTTTCTTGCTTTTATTTTCTGCATCGAAATTTGGTCTAAAATTACTTACTTTCCGATTAGTGAAAAAAATTTATCAATTATTTTATGCAATAAGAAAGGTACATAATGTCTAAACAGAAAAGAAAGTCACTTGGTTTTCAATCCAGTGGTGGAGATTTCTCCTAAAACAGTTTACTATATTCGACTCAATAGTGAAGATACTACTGCTACTGTTTTTATGATCTTATAATGATTTTCCTCTGAAATAGAGACAAATCCTTCATTAAACCTGCACGTTTTTTTGTGATAAAAGTCAAAACTGTCTCTGGGACTTTGAACTGCAGTGCTCACAAATATCAAACAAAGCAAAATGACAATAATTATCCACTGAACTTTAACACAAAGATCTGTTTGTATTGGTAAAACATAACCCATTCTTATAAATTATGCAAAGTGTGTTTAAACTGAATTCACAGCCCTGCTGTCTCTTTTTTTATACAGGATAATACACTCTCACAGTCAGCGAGAGATCACTGCATTTGGATGCAGTCCAAATTGTATTCCCAGATGTGACATGTACATCTGACAATTATTGAGTGTGTTAATCTAATTCTTATCTTATCTCATTACCAATATGTGTAACTTCATTAGTACATTTACAATAGATAATATTTAATGTTACAATCTAATTTGTCACAATGTCATAGTATGAATTACTTTTTATGAATTACCGTGATTTTTTTAATAGTATGATTTACTAATAAGTCTTCAATTATACATGATGGGGTGGGGGCATCATGTGTATGTGTACAAATCATGTACTTTGAGAGGAAGTGACTTAATTATGTGCCTGTTTGTCTGAAGTTAAGAATCAGTCAAAAATGGTCTGCTCCAAGGCACATTCAGCATCTTTTCTGCAAACATTCTGGGAAATTGATTGTAAATTGTAGACATTTTGCTTTTTTCATTGCTTGTTTTAAACAAACAAACAAATGGTGCAGAAAGATCATCGAGAGCCATTTATGAATAGGGATCCCACCTATGCTGGGATGGGCGGGAGCAGATAAGGAAAAGGGAGTAAGAGCAAGGACTAAGAGAAGGAAAGGGAGAGGTAAGAGGGAGGGAGGAACCACACATAGTCGAGCCAGCTTTGTGCCAAGCTTCCTGTTCTTTCGGAGGGACCCTTTTCTATGCGACCATAGAAAGAGAGCTGAATTGGAGTGGCACGCAATTCGTCACTGGATAAAGCGTATTCCCTGATTCTGGCTGGGACATTATGGGCTTCAACATCTAAGCACCTTGTGTTACCACAGTAACAGAGCTGTTGAGATGGAGGGTACAAGTACAGAAGATAGCGACACGCTACTGTGCATGCTAATATAGATGCTAATAAAGGTCTAGGCTATATCTAAAAGAACTGCGACATATAGGCTCTTTGTCTAACAGACATATGTTGTTATAGTTTACTTTGAGGGCTGGTCGACATTTTTTTGTTGTTGTTTTGGGGATTTCTAAGACTAATGTTTCTACTTTCAACAGTAAAGTTTGGGGTCAGTAAGATTTTTCCAATAAAATTTTAATAAAATGAACACTTATTAACAGCAGTAATAGTACTTTTATTTAAATAGTGAAATATATGAAAAATTCAACTGTAATACAAAGTTTCTCTGGTTATGTTTAGAATACCATACTGACCTACTAGTACGAAAATATTCTGTATGCACAGACTCTGTATCATTCTAACTCTGATTCTAGTTGTCTGCCTTACAATAGATAGATTCAAAAATGTTTTAAAAAATAAATAGTGTGCTTTTCGAAGTACCTTCCCAAACATGTTCCTAAAGTACACTTTGATAAACAACACACACTAACACCCATTAAAATCTATCTTTGGACCGGAAGGAAACTGAGAGGGTAAACACAAAATCACCTTGCATTCATGGCCTTAAACTAAATCAGATCAAACTGTATCAAAGCAAAACCAAATGACTCTCACACTTCGAACATTTTCTTGGTTCCAAACTTTGAAAAACAACAAATTAAACAATGGAAGTAAGTGACTTTAGACTAAAAATTAGGTACTTACCTTCAACCTCTTCCTGATCACACAAGTGCTTGAGTAGCGAGGCCCCTCTGTCCAGCACGGCCTCATCCTCCACCCTATAGTAGTAAAAGAGGAAGAAAGACTGCTCACACTTCTCTTCTAAAGACAACGTGGAGCCATAACATCGCGGTTCATTCACTTGCAGTGTGTTTCTGCTAGTACTAGCCATTTTCCCAGGTTAGCAGGTACCGCTAACAAGGGGGAAGTCTTTGGTTCTGGATCCAGCCCTGGTTAATAGATGTGTGATGTAACTTATGAGACACGGTCCTGTTCTGAGGCTGCTGCCCTTGAGGGTACGCAAGAGCGGTCAGGTAGACATTGGGAGGGTAATCCGGTCTATGGGGGATGGGGCGGGCTGGTCAGCCTAGTAAGATGCTAATTGAGTCTGATGTACAGAAGGTGTGAGCCAGGCTGCCACACACAGATTTCAGATCAGCTAAAGAGCAATTCTAATGCTAATACAACAAGTTACACGTGGGTGGGATAAACACTGAGCATATACACAAACACTGTTTATGACAATCGGATTTCTCTATCTGGTCTATTATAATCAAAAGTGATCCACAACGCACAAACACACATATTTAAAAAGGCTGGAGTAAAAGTATGTCCACGTAGCATTAAATCAATAATGAAATAACTTATAATAATGATTATTAACCTATAATAATCAGTCCTTAGATGGAAAACTTTACAAACAAACAATGTGTACTGTATTTTTCTGGAAAATAAATCACACTTGACTGTAAGGGTCAAATTTGCAGTTGTAAGTAAACTTTCATCTGACCTGATCTGGCTAAAATTAGGTATTTCTCATTTGTTATTTGTGCATTCTCTTTTTATTTTATTTTATTTACCTATAAATTTGGTGAACATCACAATAATGTGCATGCATAATGCATTTTTGGCTATTTACTAACGAGTATGTGGTTAGTTTCACATGTACAATAACACTAATTTCAATATAAACACATCAAATGAATGTCTTTATTTGAGACTTCATCACACTTTACAATTGTATCTTGGGGACAATTTAGCCATTTGTCCACTATTGGGACAAAGATTTTTGCTCCTAGCGAGGTGTGACTGCTATTTGACACTTTAGGAAGAAGTCCAGATGTGAAACAATTCAGGCACTGACATTTCTCTAAGGTGAGGTAAGTCTAAAGGTGTGCAGAAAATAGATATGATGTTATTTGTTTTGATCACAATCATCTTTTCAGGTTTGAAAATGAAGTGAATTTGACCTCTAAAATCCATTAAAACCTTTTTTCCTTTTTTTTCTTTTCCTTGAGAACACACTCAGATAATGATTTCCTCTGTGGGCTCCTTACAACATGAATTGTCACTGAATGTTTACAAAACCATTAAAACAAACCAAAATGTAAACACAAACAGGAAGGATAGAGCTTATTCCTCTGATAAGAGCACAGATCTCCCTGAGCGCCCAGTGTCACTGCATATCTCGACTAGATGCAATCAGGCATGCTGAAAAGATGCCAAGTTCAACCACTCAATTCTGTAACCCAGACTCATTGAAAAAAGCATGCCTGCTGTGGCATTTCTGCACAATGATATCACATTCCTTCTTGCATGTTTCAGCGAAATGTAAAATGAGTTTATTTTGTTGGTTATCTAATGAAATGAAATGTCCTGTGAGTGGTGGCGCATCGAGAGGATTTTGTGATACGCAAACATGTATCAGTTTAGAAATCATGCACTATCATGATCATAAATTATTATGCAAGGAACCGCATGGATATAAGTCTCTGTTAATCGATAATCTGCCCCTGTAATCATAATTTGTTTTTCACCAGGAAGTCAAAAAGGACGAATTTTACTTTTAATGGAATATTAAAGTGTTTGTTTTAAATGATTTACCTGTGCATACATTATTTATGACTAGATTCATGTGCCTTAAAGGAGTAGTTCAATTTAAAAAAAAAAAAAAAAACTTTTGCTGATAATTTACTCACCCCCATGTCATCCAAGATGTCCATGTCATTCTTTCTTCAGTCGAAAAGAAATTAAGGTTTTTGATAAAACCTTCCAGGATTTTCTCCATATAATGGACTTCATTGGGAACCAAACGGTTCAAGGTCCAAATGAGACTTTCAGTACAATGACACCAGACGATGAATAAGGGTCTTATCTAGGACCCTTCGAGTCATGACTCAAACAAAGGTTTGTTCATCTTGATGAACGAGTTTGAACAGGAGAGACACAAATGCTCTTCACAGAACAGAGCAAGGCTAGCTTATAAAATATAAGTCCTTATAAAACTTAAACTTTTTAACTTTTTTTTTTTTAATGACAGATCGATAAGACCCTTATTCGTCGTCTGGTGTCGTTTAAAGCCCTTTGAAGCTGCACTGAAACTCTCATTTGGACCTTGAACTGTTTGGTTCCCAATGAAGTCCATTATATGGAGAAAATCCTGGAATGTTTTCATCAAAAACCTTAATTTTCTTTTCGACTGAAGAAAGAAAGACATGGACATCTCGGATGACATGGGGGTGAGTAAATTATCAGCAAAAGTTTTTTTTGTTTTTTTTTTAAAAGTGAACTACTCCTTTAATCTTTAATCAAAATAACTTCTTAAAAAGAAATACATTTTTATAAGCTGCCGACCCCCAAAAAACAGTTGTTTCAGGACATAAAAGTGGATCAATTGAGGTAGAACGCAACTAGTTCTCGAACTACTCTGAGAACTACGCCCACTGGTACACGACATGATATTGTAAAAATGCTACAGCTTAGCTTACATAAATATATAAAACTGTCATTTGGATATTTGACTTACCACTGACAAAATGTGCACTGCACACGCAGAGCTAGGATTTACCCATTTTTTACACACAATTTACCCATTCATAAATGCTGATGCTTCACGTTTTATTGCCTGTATCCAATTGTCTCCTTAAACCGCTTTACGGTTTATGGTTCTGAAGCTTATAATTTATTTCTGGGTTTTTTAGCTTGTTTGCGGTACACCTTGTCATGCAGCAGCTTTTAGGCATTTTTCTGTCTTTTGTTATAAGTCATAAATGACAAGGAGGCAGCCTCTCACAATGCAAAGTCAATGGAGACGGTTGGATTTGTACATTTTTTGGAGTTTTACCAAAATGTAGATAGAGGAATGTTTTTCCTACAGCACATCAAGCTATAGGTCACCCAAAGGGCTATTTAACTTTAATGAAAGTTAAAAGCTAACAGTTAGCAATACACTAACGACCATTTAAAAAACTATATCACCGAGGTGGCGGTGTGTGGTGGTTTTACAATTAAACATGTTGTTAAACAATAACTAGCCTATATACGGTAGGTTTACTGTGACCCAAACAAGGTGTAAATTATTGTAGCACTTGGTTATCTGTGACGTAATATAATAATAGAAGACTGGTTAAAAGGTCAATGAATAGCCTATTGGCTAACACAAACCTTGTGAACATGACTGTCTAACAGCTAGACATTACACTCCGCATGGTTAATTCTGTTAAAAGCAACCATCAACAATACCAGATTTATAGATAGTGTCAAAAATAATAACCCGTATTATAATTCACAGACTTCTACAAAACAATCCTGTTTATTGTAATCTTACTTGTACGTAATGTACAAATTGTAGGGAAAAAAAATATCTTAGAAGCAAAACTAGACTCGATTAACCCAGGATTTGTTAAAAAAAAAAAAAAAAAAAAAAAGTCACCACTCTACTTTATTTGTTACAAACAGGAGGCAAAGAATATAAACGGTTTGGTCCGTTTGTTCTTTATCTCCTGTTTTGTAACTAATAAAGTGTTCTTAGAGTGTCAACCTTTTTTGCATTTTTGTCCTGATATAAGTCTCAGCACCTAATCAGCTGGGAGAGCGTGTGAGTGTTTTGATTTGTTAAAAGGTAAAATATTTCTTGGAAAATACTTTTGCCGACCATTATGGGAAGTAGGCACAAAAAAAAGGAAGGATCCGCATTCAAACTGCTTTTTGAACATCACACTCTGTCCTATTAGATTAAAACTGTCCCTCTTCCTCCCCCAATCTTCATTGCCACCTATGGAACAGATAGTGACACAGCAGGCTCACAGTCTCCTTCACATGAGATGAGTTCACCTCACATTTCCTTAAAAACACTTTGGTGTCAATTGGGTAAAGTTTAATTTCAGCGATGCTCTCATTGTGCAACTGACGACTGACTAGAATTAAGAACATATTTAAAAGTCTTTCCGGGTAACAAACTATTACAAACTAGCATAATAAACTAAACCCACACTTAACAATACAAGCAAGACTGGTAAATGGTAACATTTTCAACTATTTATAAATAAATAAAATCTACACAACTAATATTCCCATGAAGGCAAATGAAATCAATTCGTTCTCCCTTTTTTAAAGTGATTTCTTTAAGTTTTTATAACAGTTTGGATTACATATCTGGGCTCACCTGAGAGAATAATTCTGCAATATGTTATGTAGATATAGCTGATTTTTGAGAAATGGAACATAGGCTACAAAGGAGAAAAATATAGGCCCAGGTAAATAAGTTTACATAATATAAAGAAATTGCTTTGGATGTATGCTGAACATGAACAGCATTGACCTGAGTTTGGGTGTAGGACTATTGCATGTTTATTATAGGTTATGGATAATTCCCATGAATTAATCACTCAACCAGGCCAACTTTAGTTCCAATCTAACTGTTAGTTAATAAGACCTAAGGTTTTGATGGCGCTGAAGGTGTTGACAAATTAGCCATGTTTTGCATTCAGTAGCCAACTTGTTCTGATTAAGTTAGTTACCGGACATTACTAAAAAAAAATTTTCCAACAGAATCTTTTCATAATTTGTATGATTGAGCTAACCTATAGAGACAGTGGCAGAAATCTGTAATTACTTAAAATTGCAAAGCTGTAACAACAACAACAAAAACTACACTATAAAGAAAAACAGAGCTTGTGATGTTGAACTTACAGCAGATTATATATGGAAGGGGACCTTCAGAATGACTTAGCTATATTTTATAAAGGTTTTCGTGCATTGCTATGTAGGCTACTGGAAAAAAAGTAGGAACGTAAAAACGCACAATGATAAAGTTGTCCCATGTGTGAAGACTCATTCAGAAAAACAGTGGGGCTTTCTGATGCTATTCTTCTACTATGAATTGGATGAAACTTGATAACTGAACTGTAACCCGAATCACAGAACAGGTAAATATAGCAAACGTTTTCAGGATTTCTTACCTCTTTCCGGCACTCATTTTGTGAAGTTGAATAGCTGATAATTTATTCCAGTGGTTTGGTGTTTCAGTCCAGCACTGCAACGGCAAACGTTTCAACTGTCCGGTTACTAGGCGCTCTAAAACATTGACAACACTGGTTTTAGTTACTCCTTAGAATAACTTTTTCTAATAGCAAAAAGAAAAAAGTGACAAAGAAAAGAACATTAAAAAATACCTCCAGTTCTGTGTGAATGTGCCCCACCGCATGTGACAGACGCGCGTCTGCTGAAGCAGCAGAACAACTGGACGCTTCAAAATGCGCGTTTCATTTATCACTAGCCGCTGCTAGTCACGTCACAGCACGAGTGGGGTGGGAGGCCAAGAAGTTTACCTTGAAGACGAGACTTACACACATTTCTCTGAGAAGACGGCAATCAAAATACCGTAATGAGACGACTGAACATGGTACACGCCTCATTGTAGACATAAGTAAACCGAGTATATAGTTTATTGTGCGCTCATTTGATCAACGGATTCAAAGTGGACCCGAAGTTTGGCGGAGGGATGAAAGAAAGCAGATACTCCGTGCGCGCGCACCTTGTGGCTACTTCACGTTCACGTGAGATACAGCGACACCTTCTGAAGAAATCTCACACACAATCAGACAACATGTTATGTTATGTTATGTTTATGTTTATGTTATGTTATGTTATGTTATGTTATGTTATGTTATGTTATGTTATGTTATGTTAACCAAACAGAACACTATGCTACTTTTGTGACACATACAACACACAATCAATCTAGTGTAGTAGCCTACATGATACATTATTAAATACACAGTCGGAGAGCCTCTCTCTGAAAGGTCAGCCATTCTTATGATCTCCCCTGTAGGAAGAAAAAGCCAAATGTGCAAAGGGAGTAGACTCAAGTCCATATATGTTAGTTAGAGGATGGTTGGCAAAAATAATGGTTGAATTTTTTTATATAAGTCATATTTACATGTATGCACATTGTTGTCTTTAGTTTCTTTACACACACTCGAATCTTTGTTTGCTGTTGGTCTGAATCACATTAGGCAGAACACTGGGTGAATTAAACTTTGGTGGTGGTGGAAATTAGCCTAACTGATAACTATTAATAGCTGTTTTTTTACAGGCCTATTTGCGCTTTTGTGTTTTGAACTGTAGCTGAACTTTTGCTAGCTTCAAATAAATAATTTAGATATATCAGTAATTTTCTTTAAGATTAAATTTGTTTTAATGATTCAAAGGTCTCCAACAAGCGACAGATTAGATGAATGAATTCAAACATCTTATTTTCGAAGCATAATGACAATTGTCAGCATTTCAAAAATGCATTTGTTTTTTATTTCGAATATTTTTTTTTATGTTTTCATAGAGAGACTCATTTTTAGTCCTATAAAATCCAGAAGAGATTAAGAATAAAATATATTAAAAAAAATTCTTTAAATGTTGCCTATGTAGGCTAATATGCAGAAAAGAATGAAGACATTGTGAGTCTTCAAACTGTTTCAGGCAGGTTGTAGGTTGCTATAGTCAGACATGGACAGAAGTAGGCTATGTGTATGGTGTTATCTGCAGGTTTTAAATGAGCAAAATAAACAACTGAAGGGATTTTGAAGGCCTTGTTGCTCGATTGACTTTTTTTTTTTCTTGGCAGACACTCTTAATCCATTCTTTTGAACTAAAACATCACTCTGAGAGCTTTCTAAAGCATTTATTGTATGATGGCATGCAACCGTTTTGAAGTTTCAACTGTCTCTGAACATTTTTGATCCAGACAGTCTTGTTTCAATGTTTCATGTTTCATTTGGAGACTCCTGGAATCTATGCAGTTTCCCTCTTCTGGAATCATCCCTCTTTCCTTCTTGTTTTCCTTCTCATAAATACTATACTTTTACAAGACAAGTAGGCTACACTCACCTTCTCACCTTGAGGCAAGAGGAAAATACACACACAGACATTCAGATCAAGAGAGGATCTTGTCATTGACTCCAGGAAGATCATGTCACTTAAAGACTGCTTTGTATTGCCTTTGAGTTATAACTGCTTTTTGGATGACTTCCAGTAAGAACTCTCAAAATACAAATCTATATCCATCAGCATACTGTTAACCAAACACTTGACCATTCGTGAACTCAAAAACCATCATCATCACAACATCTATAATAAAAAAAGAGTTTTTGAAGGGATGAAATAGCAGTTTTAATCCATCATGTAGCTACATGACTCATTGGTATATCATCATCAATACGTAGGCTACTCTTTAGACTTTTGTAGGAGCATGAGAAATAGTTTTGCACCCAATACTGTTATCATTATCATAGTTCATCGGTTGTATAAACAGAAACGAAGATGAAGAAGACAATAAGGTAATATTTAATAAATCCAACGGGTAATCCAAACGAACAGTGCAACATACGCATCCACAATAGACGACACCGGACACTGAACAGAAACAGACCATTTCACAAGATGTAAACAACACTGGTCCAGAAGCACTTCCTGTTTCAGTTTCTAACTGTTTTCTTTATTTCACATGTAAAGAAAACATCTTAAAGATGTTTGTTTAACTTTTTGATTCAGTTTTAAATGTTCTGTTGGTTGTATTTTATCCCAGCTTTTATGTAGTGTTAAAAAACTGAAACAGGAAGTGCTTCTGGACCAGTGTTGTTTACATCTTTTGAAATGGTCTATACAGGTGATAATGATGGTGATTGAGGAGTCCACACCTAAACAGAATAAGTGTCCATTAGAACAAATAAATGACTTTGGCAGACTATGACCAAACACAACACGTCCTCCCGGTTAGGCGCGACTTTTTGCCGTGGAGAAGAGGAGACGAAGAGGATGAGGGGATGGCAAAGGCGTGGTAGGCTACAGACACCCAGGAGGAAGTTCTAGGGCTGAATGGACGACCGGGAGATTAAGGACGATCAACAAAGTCCAGGGTGTGGATGAAGGTGAAGTGAGCCAAGGGATGATAGCTCTTCATCCAGGCCACAGCCAGAGGAGTGTCCCACAGAAGCGTTGATGGAGGGAGGAGCAATGGAGGAACACTGATGAGGGCCACCATGGGGTTTATGGGACAGGAGGCAATGACGGCGTGAATGGAGCCCACCGCGAAGCCGATGAGCCGAGGTGGTAGAGAGATTACGACGAACTAGATGGCCGCGACTGAGCATCAGTGACGACCTCCCGAGATCGAGGTGGAGATCCCAAGGTCTGTTGGCAAGCTGAAGTGACCAAGGGCAGAGGCGGAGCCTGATGAAGAGAGGAGCGAGCCGCAGCTGAAGGGGTGGAGGAGAGAGCAGCAGTCAGGTGAAGCGACCCAGGTGGAGCCGACATACCGAAGGAGTACGGCGAGGCTGAATGGCCGATGGTTCACGCTGAGGTCCAGGGAAGAAGGAGTACGGGTGCCGTGGCGAAGGGTTGAGGCAGATCGTACCACACTGTCCTCGAAATCCACCAACAATTCCTCACGAAGGATGGGAAAAAAATCTTACAAAGATGATTATGATTCTTTCAAAACACCTTCAGAAAACCTTCATAATAAAGCATACGACTATCATGAAATTAATAGACTTAGTAATCTCATTTAGTGTTTTAAATGCACTCATGTGTTTACTTTTGTTTAAAAAAACAAGTAGCCTAATGTTGATCAAGCCTAATTATTAAGTAATGTAAGTGGGCCTAATTATTATCGTCCTAATTCGTATTTTAAATAATGCTGTTAATTTGTTGTTTGGAACAAAGATGTTAAATTAATACTTGAAAGATTCAATCATAGTACAACATTCACTGGTCGCCACCTACTGGTGCAATGCTGTAATCTACAGAAAGAGTCAGATTGAATCAGGGAATGAATCTGATTCTTTTTGCGAACAGAATTGAACAAAATCCCTACTAGTCGCAGTTACGGTTCTTCTGGGGTTTATAATAGTTTTAGTAATTGAGGGAATGCACTTCTTCAATCTTAGCTGTCACACACAGACATGACAGGCCTTGGCTTACATCTTGTTCATAGTTTAAAAGTCCATTCCGATAACAAATATATCAAAGCTTGTCATAAATAGATAAGAATATATAATAATGTGGTTTGCATCTTAAAAATATGTTTTGATTCTCAAGTATTTCACTATGGGTTGCACATTGGCAGACAAGCATGTTTAAAAGTTGATTTCTTTCATTTAAGGTTTTTTTTAAAAGGTTTATTATTTGTTTTTCATTTATTTTTACAAAATGGTAATATTTTGAAATATTATTATTACAATTTAAACATTTCTATTTAATATTGTAAAATAAAACGTTGCAATGACTCAAGTCATTCAGTCTCGCATGATTCTTCAGAAAATCAGATTTTCTGTTAAAAAAACACTTTTTTATTTCTTCTCTATATATTTTTCAGGATTCTTTGATGAATAGAAGGTTAAAATAAACAGAGTTTAAATCTTTTGTAACATTATAAATGTCTTTACTGTCACTTTTGATCAATTTAATTCATCCTTGATGCATACAATTATTTTATTTTCAAATAAATCTGACTCCAAACTTTTAAAAGGCAGGCTATAAGACTGTAGCATGGTTGTGGTAATGAGGATGCAGTTGTTACATTGCTGTTAACAAGAGAATTAATGCTCAGAAGTCAATCCTGTTAAAATAATTAAAGAATGCGCACAATGAATGGTTTTATTAGACCCATAGACCGAAGGTTAACTTCTACTTTATCAGTTGTTCAACACATCTGTTGCTTTCATTAGCATAATAGCACAAGTCTTAATAGCACAACAACAAAAATGTAGGCTAGCTAAAACAGCCTTGGAAGACCAACTTTAGTCCAGCTAAACAGCTTATATGTCAAAGCTTGAACCATCCAAGACCAACTTTTGGGGCTGCGTTAGGTGTTTTTTCATGGTAGTTTAAAGTGTTTAGATAATAACAAACTCTTTGATAATCTGTCTTTGCACATGTCAAGGAAAGCATCACTTGTGTAAACACCTGTCTGCTTCAAGTATCTGAAGTCCTTCTTTCCTCACAGTGGGTCTGCATGGAGGCTTAACATTCCTTTGATGGAGATATTGAGACAACAGCTTCAGGAGGAAGAGTTAAGGAGTTTAAGTCTGTTCCCTATCATCTCTAAAGCTATCCAACACATTGTATGCCGCTGGCACATTCTTCGCTTCAGTCTCATGCAAAGATCAGATGTTCTGTGGAGAAAACAGTGCAAAAGTTCAGTTCAGACTAAAACAGTCTTGGCATTTCACTCCAGGTTTTCTTAAGGAATAAACAAGTCTTTTCATCACATAAAAAATATGACTAATGCTGCAAAATATGATTAGGTTTTCTGAGAAAAGCAGAAAGGCTTAGGAAGTTTGTAGTTGGCTTTTCCTTGAGTGCTTATGAAAATCATTTAGGCTTGTGCCCTCTTGTGGTTGGGGAAAAAAAGTTTTATTTTTAACATAAAATTTGCATATTGTACATCAAGACATTAGCATAGGCTACTTAACTCATGCTAATAACTGAAAATAATGCAAGAGGAAACACTTCTGTCTTTTTTAAGTAATCTATCCTTTTTTCATGTTTCACAATTGAGAAACTTTGAACATATTGTCTTGAGCATGTTCACAATAAAAGGTAATCTTTTATTCAAAAAGGTAAAATAAAATCTGCAATCAAAACAAGAAAAAAAATAACAGCTAAATTAATAAAGATAATTTCACAGTTGTGCAAAAAAGACAAATTTCTAAATTCTCAACTAAGAACACGCAGTGAGAGCTTAGTATAGTTTCAAATCTCCAATGTTAACCAATTATATTAAAGCTATTAATCAAACTATTCATTAAAAACTACACTACCATTTTACAAACTCACAGTATAAAAAATATTAAGCTACCACAGTTTGTATTGCATGTTAAATGTCCACAGTCACAAGGCACTACCAAAACTTTTCGACAAGAACATAAAATACATACAAGTGCAAGCTTTTATTAAAAGCAGCCCAAATGAACACAATTAAAATAAGCTGACACACATTCTACTTTTCCTAATTAACTCCATCATCAGTGTGTAGATAAATACAGTTGCTATATGAAATGATTCAATGTGTTTACATTTTGGCAACTAAATTAATTTCACAATAAAAGACATTCAACAAAAATATACATATATAAAAACATAGAATAAAATGTTAATAATGAGGGACATGTACTATAAATTATGCTCTGAGGGAAGACCATGTACTATGTACAGGTATTTAAAAGGGAATTTTGTAATATAAAAACATAACTCATGAAATGCTGAAAACTGAGCATGTGTTCTTACAGCAGTTAAGCTGAAATAGGGAGCGACTATCAGAGGGTCAAGTGGAGTAACCAGTTACGGCCAAACAAAAACAACTAAAATATTTGAAGAATTCTTACATTTAAGTTATTTGAATATTTATTGTCAGAATGTAGTTATTTCCTTTAGCTGAATCTCTACTTCGCCCATCACCATCATAGATCCGTATGCAGATTAAATGTAGATAGCAATTACATTATTCTAAAACTGTAGCATGGCAACAAACATTTATTTTCAGATTTAGTGTTAAAAGTGTTTGCAATCTAATGTAAACCAAATACCCTAAATAAACATTAAACAACAATAATACTACTGCTCATGTAACCGTTTTCCTAAGCTTTTAGACAAGACAGATTTGAAATTGTAAGCTTGTTAGTGATGTGCAAAGTATGTTAATTGCAAATAAAAATACCAAAGATTTTTTTTTTTTAAATAAACTAATAATGTGCATGTAAAGACAGCCACAATCTTTAAGTCAAAGATATTTTCTCTTGTTCCTCATTGCTGTCCTCTATTACTGTGATCAAGTCATACGACCGTAGACTCTGACTGCTGGGACTTGGACAAGCTTGCGGAGCAAACTCATTATACAGAACCTACATAAAGGGAAAGAACATAAATAGTCAAGTCATCTTCATTTATATAGCGCTTTTAACAATGTAGATTGTTCCAAAGTTGCTTTAATAGGAAATTGAAGAAACAGAGAATGTTTTGGCTTTATGACAGCTCTGGAATAGTTATTTTCCAGCTAAAGTTGGTTGTAATTGATTCACTTACGTCACAACGATCATTAGTTATTAAAGGGATACTCCACCATTTTTTTTCATATTAAACCATGTTATTCCCTTAACTAAGACGAGTTGATGCATACCTCCGTCATCTCATTGCATGCACTCAATCGCTCTGGTGCACAAGGCACTTGGATAACACTTAACTTAGCCCAGTTCATTCATTAGGATCCAAGCAGAGAAGCGACCGAACACCTCAACGTTTTCCCTATTTAAATACAGTTACACGAGTAGTGCAACTCGACGAAGAATGGAGTCCCTCTCCGGAGCGATGATATTACTGCGCCAAGTCCATAGATGTATTATGAGCCGAGTCGAAGTGCTCCCAAGCACTTGCTGTGGTATTCTGCCATACATTATAGTTATCCACTTTACACACTTAGAAAAACACAACATTTTATTTTGTGTCACTGTCCTAGGTCGAGTTACACTACTTGTGTAACTGTATTTAAATAGGGAAACCATGGAGGTGTTTGGTCGCTTCTCTGTTTGAATCTCAATCAATGAAATGGGCAAAGTTATGTGCTATCAAAGTGTCTCGCGCGCCAGAGCGATTGAGTGCACGCACTGAGACGAGAGAGGTATGCATCAACTTCACCTCTGGAAAGATGAATGTGTATTTAAAATGGATCATTTCGGTAGAAGAAATGTGAAATTATTTTTGAATTTGGAGCTTTCTAGACTGAGAAAAGACTTATGTGGCTTATGTGGATGAAAGACAACAACTCCCAGAATGCACTTGCTTTACTGCCCTAGGAGGCCACAGAGGGAGCACAGTAGTTAAACAAGTCTAGGCTACTGGCAACAAGTCTAGTCTACGTGCACTCAATCGCTCTGGCATGCAAGACACTTTTGAAGTGCTTGGGATATATGCGCCGAGTCGAAGTGCTTGGGAGTGCTATCAAAGTGTCTCGCGCGCCAGAGCGATTGACGAGAGACGAGAGAGGTATGCATCAACTCATCTTAGTTAAGGGAAGAACATAGTTTGATGTGAAAAAAAAAACAGTGGAGTATCCCTTTAAGAGTTCATTCTATTGGTATGCACATTTGAATACATGTGCTGAGGCGTGTAGTCATTCCTTAAAAAAAAAACCCTCAACAAACTACTTGTTAGGCCTTAAAATGTACAATAAATCATTTTATCGCTTTGGCATAGCCAGCCACGTGAACCGGAATTATCCCGACAACGATTATCTGTACAGATGTAAAGGGGAGGCCTTCACTAGGGAGGGACTAGCTGAGTAGTCAAATACTCAATTAAAAAAAAAATAATAATAATTTACATCTAACTCTTCGAACTGATGAATGATAATTTAAGAAAAACGTGTTGCCTGATGATAAGCAGGCCTCTTCAGAACTCAGATTCAACAAGATATACAAAATAATAATATTGCACCAAAACAATAGTTTTCATAAAAGTAGTTAATTGTTATAGGTTGCCATATTCAGTTACTTTACATTATTTCGATTGATTAGTAATTATAAAATATGGATGTGTACCTCTCGATAGTGATCAGGAATTTCCAGTTGTATTGGCTGCAATAGTTGTTTCACCTTTTTGTGGTATTTAAAAAGTACAAAAATGCAGACACCACACATGGCCGAAACAAAAAGTGTGGTTAAAATACTGTAAAGCAAAACACGTCTCCTTGCTATTTCAGCTACACAGGAAGAAAGGAATGAAAGAACATTTCAGTTAAACAAGTTAAACACTTAAAATTGAGCAGCATGTGATTCATTTCAGTAACTAAAAGTTCATGAATTTTTTTATGAAAAGTTTAATCACACACACTCTGAATAAAGCTGAAGCAGTTTGTGCTCTATTAATAAATAAGAGAATAAGACTTACATGTTTCTGGGATGATTTTACATATTTTCTTGCTAGCATTTCCATAAGGCTTATCATAAAGCAAATATTCAACCTGGAAACAGTAGTTTTGCTCTGATTCGAGTTCAGTCAAGGGTTCATTCTTCCTATCCGTAATAATAAAAGGTTCTGCCTGTAGGAACAAAAAACTCTTGTCAGCTTTACACTAGTCTTCCTACAGAAATAGGGAATGAATGTTTATTCACATTTTTCTTTTTTTGTTTAGGATGCAAGAGACCTTAGAAAATCCTCCGTTATCTACTTTCCAGTATGATATTTTAAATTGAATGTGCTCTCCATATTCTTTCTCCAAGCTCTGGTCCATATGTGTCATAGTCAGGGAAACCCTTTCACGTTTTACAATCAGATTTGTCACAGGAAAACAAACTGCAACTGTGAAACACATAGACCATACATATTTGTGTTAGAGATATTCGAGGTGAAAAATCAAACATTTAAAATGGAAGGTCCATATAACCACATAAAGCAATCTTTACCATTTACACACTGGACCGGTTTTGAATACTGCCATTCTGACACGTTGTTTCCTTTCTCTGTGCGAACTCGAAATACCGCTCCATAAAATTCAGGAGTGATTTGAAATGTTCTTAACTTTGTTCCAATATGGCTCGACACATTGAGCCATTCATCCTCTGATTTGCTAAAATCAAAACAAAAATGCAGAATAAGTTGAAGGCAGGTAAGTGAGATATGACCTCTTCAGTCACCATTCCCTTTTTAACTATGGAAAAATAGCCAAAGAAAGTGAACGGTGGTGACTGAAATTATGTAGCCTATAACTCTTGTTAAAAAACAACAACAAAAAAAACACATCAAAAGGGTTTGAAACAACATGAAGGTGAGAAAAAATGATGACAATTTCATTTTGGTTGAACTATCCATTTGACATGTATGCTTACAGTTTAGGGTTGTACTGTAGTGAATACAGCACGGTGTCATCGTTGGAAGGCTTCCACTGCAGATCTGATCCGACTATCTTGACATCGTGGGGGGGCTTTAAGCCGAATGTCCTCTCTTAAATAAAACAAATATACGCTGTTTAAGGACATGACAGCAACGACACGTTGTTTTATATTGCAATTGGGGCAATTGCACAAATCATATCATTTGAGTTCTTACCGATGTTGATAATCAGAATAAAAACTGCAACTACGTTAAGGTAGCGGGTCATTTCGAGGGTTTTGTATCCATATTTTCACCATGAAACCTGGGCTTTTTGTTGAAGCGCCATTCTGGTTTTCTTGTTGAAACACGTTAGTTCCTCTTTAGGCTCTTCCGGTAAACGGCGTAAATGCAGCGTAATCTACTGAGTTCAATAACGTATGATCGCGCACAATGAAATCAAAACACATCTTTTGAACTCAATAATACATACGAAAGAATTGTTTTACAACTTCTTTACTTCTCTTCTTTAAAATCCCATTTGTACGCGTGAAACAGATTCAATCTGTCTTTTCCTGCTTTTCCAGAGTTCCTTCTTCTTCTTCTTCTTTTAGAGTTTAGCTGTCTTCTTCTTCTTCTTCTTCTTCTTTTATTATTTGGCGGTTGGCAACTATTTCTTGTGCATTACCGCCACCACAGGACTGGAGTAAGGCATAGGAGCTAACTGTCTTATTCTTTACTATTATTAAAAAAAAACGAAATATACCAGCAATTTCATAATTATAGATTAAAAAAAAAATTCTTATATCCTTTTTAAAAGGCCTGTACTTTTCAAAAAAGAAAATAAGAGATGAAAATTCTCCCTTGAACTTCTGTTCAATAGTGTTTTAGATGACCCAACCTCATCCTAGTCAGCACAATTTCTTCCTGTCTTGATCTGGTTATGTGTTTCTTTTCCCACTTTCCCTTGTATACTATATAGATGTCTTCCTGAGCACCCATTATCCCAGATATGTTGCCACTTTTTAATAGTTTTAGCCTTAATTATGCTTTTTATCTCTACTTTACTGTACTTTACATCTATATCTATATTGCTTTTATCTGTTTCTCTCTTTGCATGCTCACCGGCCATTTCGTTACCTTCCACTCCTATAGACCATTAAAAAAAAACAACAAAAAAAAAAACACTGGTCCGGAAGCACTTCCTGCTTCAGTTTTTTAACACTACATAAAAGCTGGGATAAAAATACAACCAACAGAACATATAAAACTGAATCAAAAAGTTAAACAAACATCTTTAAGATGTTTTCTTTACATGTGAATTGTGAAATAAAGAAAACAGTTACAGACTGAAACAGGAAGTGTTTCTGGACCAGTGTTGTTTACATCTTGCAAAATGGTCTATATGGGCTGAAACCCATACGAATGTCACCCTCCTTCCTGATGCTTGTATTCCATTTGCTAGCTGTAAAATTTCAATTAAAATATCTTCCCTTGAATCAGACCGATAGTTCTGAATACTGTACATTGCTGAACTTGAATCAGAGGCAATTACTGCCTGCAGACAATTGTTAGACTCTAGCCACAAGATTCTAGCAACCAGTTCAGCAGTATACACTGCTAGGTCATCATTTATCCTTTTTGCCATTACTCTCTTCTCAGTGTTTTTAGATGCATCTGTAAAAACCTTTACACACTCTTTGTATTTTCCTGTTATATAGTTGCTTACCCCATACTTATCCACTCCATCTTTCTTCCTTACTTCCAATAGTCCTAAATCAACCTTCAATTTACTGTCTGTCACTGTTGGGCAGATGTTCAAAGATCCAATTCCCATGTTATTCACCTTATCTTTTATGACCCACCCATAACTTTTGATTTTCATACTTTCTATTTTCCTGACATTCCCTTAATACTGTCTGAGACATGTGGTTCTCTTTATGCCCCCTGATATTTGGTCCCTCCTCAAATGACCTCTACTTGCATTGCAGCTATTGGAGAAGTTCTTATTGCACCACTAATTATCCTCATTGCTTGATTTTGCAAACCATCAAGTTTGTTTTGTCTTGGAGGCAGATCCATATGCTATACAGCCGTAGTCAAACACTGATCTCATTAGACCTGTATAGATGGTTTTTAATGCTGTAGCACCCCAATCTATCACACATAAACACCTCATAATATTTAGAATCCTCTAACATTTATCTACCATCTTTTGGATGTGATATACCCATGTCAACTTCTTAGTTTAGCTGACGATTGGCAGACCAACTTAAGGTGCATACCGCCACTTACCGGACCAGATCTCGTGTCAAACGCCCCTTTTTCGCAGTGGCCTTCAAGGGTGCAAACAAAGTCGTTTGGAATTCGCTCACAATAAAAATATCACTTACCATTTAAAACATGCATGAAACGTATGTTCACATTCCAGTACAGCAGGTGGCGATGGCGATAAAGATGTTCATGGTGGTGCATTCCTTTGCGAGAACAAGAATGGGGGCTGAGGGGCCATGGCTTGATAAATAACGCTTTTACTTCGTGTTTGTTTTTAGTTGACTATTAACCCGTGGATTCCTGATTAGTTTAGGTTTCTTTAGCTGTATATCTGCAAGACAGTCAAGTAACTTAATTCAATTAAAACCAAATGATTAAAATGCATTCGGTGATATCTAGACTAACTAGCACAGGAAAAGCTGTCAATAGAAGAAAAACAACAACGTTATTTTGCCTGCTATCATAGTTAGACCTCAATATTTAGCATTTATGGCAGGTAGCTTACTGGGTCACAGGTGTTAGTTTGGTAAAGGAAGTGAAAGAAGCAGGAATGGAGGATCATCATCATCAGGAGGATGCTGCTGTGAGTGTGAGCAGCTCTGGAGCGGATCTACTCTCCAGGATCGCTCTCAATGACAACAAGGCTGGCATGGAGGGACTGGACAGAGACAAGATCAACAAAGTCATTTTGGAAACCTCCAAGGTCTGCACAGCTATGTATTTACTTAAGTTACATTATACTTGTATTTATATGTGTAGTTGACAAACGTGGACATTAAGCTTTTTTTTTTTTTTTTTTTTTTTTTTTTAAAGCAGATCAGACAAAAAATACAATTAATAGTTAATGTGAATGGGTGAAGTTTGGCCTGTCATTGAGTTTCTATCAAGTTAATGTTACATTATAGTGCTGTTCTGATTCATTTACATATTCATTTTTTAATAAACAACATGGAATCAAATTTTATAGTTAATATTATAAATTCATTAAATGTTTAAATACTTTTATATGAAATGAACCGTAGCAAGTTACAGTTCAGGACAGTGTTGACATTGACTCATTTATAATGCAGTTGAAAAAAAAAAATGTTCTTTTGAATAACAGGGATCTAAATTTTATGAAAATGAACTTAAGAAGGAGCGGCAGGTGAATCAGCGCATTGAAAAAATGATGGAGCAAAAAGCAAAAATCACTAAAGAACAGATGAAGCAAGCACAAGCAGAGGTAATCAACTCTGTAATGATTGTAATAAGTCTTATCACAATTTCAACCTGAGTTTTATTACTGAAATGCTATTATATTGAAAAAAAGGATGTATTATTTTAATAATTTGAAATCCTGTCCAGACAAAATTATTCAAAATAATGATGAGTCTTATTAATGTTTTACGCAGTTGTAGGAACTGTGTGAATTTAGCCTTACGGTCATGATAATTGCATCGTGATATTATTGCATTGTTCTTTATTGTCACAATGCAATAAATCTAATAGTCTGAAAATAAACTACATTGTCTATATGCAAAATATAAACTGAAGTGAAACGAAGAGTTTGACATATTTCTGTGAGCTTTACCCAGAGTATACAATGAAATACATTAGTTCCACATACCTGTTCAGTTGTTTAAAAGTTTTTGCATAATAGGTGGACAAACTAAAATGTGAACTGGAGAGGGGTCGAGATCTAGGCCGTGTGATAGTTCACGTAGACATGGACGCGTTCTATGCTGCTGTAGAAATGAGAGACTGCCCAGAGCTAAAGGACAAACCGATGGCAGTGGGGTCCATGAGCATGCTGGTGAGAATCTAAAACAAACCTCACAGAACATCATCACATGTCCACAGTGTTGACATTGTCTTTATCAATTATAGTCAACCTCCAATTACCACGCCAGGAGGTTTGGTGTCCGTGCTGCCATGCCAGGGTTCATTGCGAAGAAGCTCTGTCCAAACCTAGTTATCATGCCCACCAACTTTGACAAATACAGAGCAGTGAGTGCCCAGGTATGTTATATGTTAGTTTGGCGACATTCAGTAGTCAATATCTGCTATCGTTTCCTCATGTCTGGGTTTGTCTTAAGGTACGGGAGATATTCTCTGAGTATGACCCTCATTTCATGCCTGTGAGTCTGGACGAGGCTTATCTGGACATCACTGAGCATCTGGAGCAGCGGAAGCTCTGGCCGGAGACCATGCGAACACATCACATGTGTGATGCCAAGACAGGTGTGTTACAAAAGTCTACTGACTAGTGCAGGGGGTTTCAAACTGGAAGTAATTTGTGGTCTATCGAAAATATTGGAGATAAGCAGTGTAAACAAAATTGAAAATAAATAAATATTTGTAATTGTAATCGTGATTTATAAAAAAAAAACAACACAAAAAACATATTATAGCACTATAAGAAGTAGAAAAAAGTAGTAATTTAATATATATATATTCCAAATAATGTTTTGCACAGATTTCTAATTTAAATAAAAATCTGGTCCCACTTTATATTAAGTTTCTTTAATTACTATTAATCTCTAAATGAATAATTTTATACAATGCATTATTGTGTACATTTTTACATTGTACTTGCATTTAAAAAGTGTCTACATGTAATTTCTGTAATTGATTTCAGTAATTCCATCTATAATTACACCGTTTACCCTCTCCTTATACAGTGAGAAAAATAAGTACTTGAACACCCTATTTTGCAAGTTCTCCCACTTAGAAATCATGGAGGATACATAATCTAAATCATTGATACATAATCTAAAAAGATATCCAGAAATCACAATATATGATTTTTAACTATTTATTTAAAATAAGTATTTGAACACCTGTCTATCAGCTGGAATTCTGACCCCCAAAGACCTGTTAGTCTGCCTTTAAAATGTCCACCTCCACTCCATTTATTATCCTAAATTTGATGCACCTGTTTGAGGTCGTTAGTTGCATAAAGACACCTGTCCACCCCATACAATCAGTAAAAATCCAACTACTAACATGGCCAAGACCAAAGAGCTGTCCAAAGACAGACACTAGAGACAAAATTGTACACCTCCACAAGGCTGGAAAGGGCTATGGGGAAATTGCCAAGCAGCTTGGTTTAAAAAGGTCCACTGTTGGAGCAATCATTAAAAAATGGAAGAAGCTAAACATGACTGTCAATCTCCCTTGGACTGGGTGCTCCATGTAATATCTCACCTCGTGGGGTCTCAGTGATCCTAAGAAAGGTGGAAATCAACCCAGAACTACACAGGAGGAGCTGGTCAATGATCTAAAAAAAGCTGGGACCACCGTTTCCAAGGTTACTGTTGGTAACACACTAAGCACACTACATCACACTACATCATGGTTTGAAATCATGTATGGCACAG